GGGAAAAGCGCCTAGGCTACTCTACTTGAACGGCACAGATATGTGTTAAGGTATACATCAGCAATGAAAATTGCTTTCCAGGTTATTATATTTATTTTATGCACATAATAAATAAATAAAAGTTAACATTTTTTTTACATTTTTTCATTTTGAACTTATGAGTTAAAATTTTCCTAAGACTACGTATTCTGACGGAAACACGTATTTTTTTGTTTCGATACAATCGTCAGAGTACGCATGCATAGTAACCGTAGCCTAACGTGAAAACAGTATCATTTTGAATTTGGTCCAAACTGTATGTACATATGTATAAATAAATATGTATAATCAATGACTTTTTAAATAAATGAATTATTGTAAAAATGATATAACATTGCTTTATCTACTTTTTTAATAAAGTTTTTCTTTATGTGTTTATACTTTTAAATAATGCTACGATCTTGGTTTTAAAGTACGTATACTTCAAATGCTTTATTCAAGGATTTATTTATGTAAGCTAACAAGAAGATGTTACTACATCAATAATTGTGTTCGTTTAAGTACCCGCATTGAGGTACTTAAGCGGGTTCTTTTAAGTACCCAACCCGCCTAATTACCTCAAAAATCTGACATTTTTCGTGAGGCACTTAAGCGGGTTTTACTGTAGTTATAGCAGTAACTTTGATTTTTTCCAATTTATATATTTGGACTTTAAATTGCCAAGGTTTCTATATTGTTTTCATATTCATATTCACCAAAAATTTGTTTCTCATTCTACTAGTTATGAATTCGACTCATTTCCAAGTATTTATTCAGGAGCTATTAAATAAAATTGAATGTAGATCAGAGCCATGGGCGCAGCCAGAATGAGATTAAAGGGTGTTGGAGGGGTGGGAGGCTCGAAACTATTAAGTTGTTCGGGCATGGTATTTTACCTTCGAAAATGCCTTTTCTGCGGTTTTCAACAAAGGAGAGTATGCTGGAAAAAATTTCGGTAGGCATCCATATCTCTTATTTCTAGGGATTTATGTATTCTGACATTATCCTTAACTAAAAATGAATTTTGTAACTCTGACCATGGGCGTAGCCATGTCGGGGGAGTGCTCGAGCGCCCTTACTTGCAAGTTGTCCCATGGGCGTAGCCAGAATGAAATTTATAAGGGAGCTCGAGGATAATGCCAGAATCTATAATTCCAAAGAAATAAGAAATATGGTGGATAATAATGGATGCTTACCGAAATTTTTGCCAGCCCCATAGAAAGGTAAAATTCCATGCCCAATCATTATTAAGTGACACAGTTACTGAGCGCGACATACATAGTTAGTGTAATTGAAGAAAGAATCGCACTAATTAGTTAAAATGACTATGTGATCATCCAAATTCTGAAGGCGGCGAATGGACAAGATCTTCATTCATTTTATAAACTATGACTTAGAGCCGCTTGCATCACGCCCGTTAACACTTTCTCCGAGTTAAACATCATAATCGGCGTTATCGACGCCATGCTTATGACAGCATTTTCAGTTTATATGAAACCATTTTCAAATTAAGTGAAACCTTTTTCAAATTAAATGAAACCTTCTTTCAGGTTAAGCGAAACCATTATTATATTCTAAGTATAAGCTCAATTAGGCCATAGATGCAGGTTTTCGAAATATTTCGACCCCCGCGACACCTACCAGTAAACAATTTTGTGGAGTTATTTATTTTTGTATAAGTAATATACATTCCTAATATGAACGAAATCGGGTAAATGTGGGTTATTCAAATATCTCAATTCCTGCGCCTCTTAGTGGATCAATTCTTTTATATTACACTGTTATGAGAACCAAGCATGTGCGCCATATTTCAGCCCGATAACTTCAGTGGAATTTAGTGAAATATTAATTGCGAAATTTATAGATATATGTACAAGTGAAGTTAAATAAAAGCTTGCAAAAGTAAAAGTTAGACACAAGTTATTAAACGCTGGAACTTCGAATGAAACATATTTGTTAAAGTTGAATGAAGGACTGACGTATGTACATGGTATAATTTTATTTTTATTAAAAACTCTACGCCTAGTACAACGAAAGTATTTAGTATGCACTAAACATTACGAAAATGTATTAAAATCTTTTAAATGCTTAGATACCGTACAATCTATGAAGGACATTCGTGTGTCAAAACGTAAGCGTCTTCATAGTCCGCCTAATGAAAGGACCGTTCCACGTCAGAACACTCTTCCGAATGACTTAATTAATCTTTCTTCTCCATGTCCACAGACAACGGAGTTATCTTCCTCAAAAGAACATATATCAAAGTCTGCTTCTAATAATAACGACCCTGCAGTATCTTCCCCGTCCCCCGTTGAAGTTGTGGCACCGCCATCCAATCTTCCAACGCTTACTCTACCCTCAACTAGTAACTTAGTTACTCAACCCCGTCCGCCGGTAATCGAGTCTGATACTAGGAGACTGGTTGTGGTTCCCCCAAATAAGTCTATATTTGTATCTAGATTTTCGAGGGATACTTCCGAGGACGATATAAAGTTTTACATCTCGTCCAAAGTTAAAACTGTCAACTTAAGTATCAGAAAATTTAACTTTAAATATGAAAGAAATATTTCTTCATTTAAAATAGACGTAAATTTAGAAAATTTTGACATGCTGCTTAGTAGTTCTTTTTGGCCCTCCGGAGCT